GGCGAGGGGAGGTGTGTGCGTGTGTAGGGTGTGCGTGTGTGTATCCCCGTGAACGTGTGAGAGAGCACAGAGAGAGTGTGTGTGTGTGTCTTGTGCAAGCTGCGCAGGCGTGTGCGTGTGTGGGGGGAGGCGGGCGGGGGATCCACATCACATCCCCGCGCCCTCGCCGCTCCCCCCGCCACCAGCCCGCCATCCCACCACTCCCCCCGCGTCCTGCCCCGCCCCCACCTTGCCCCGCAGCGACTCGTGCACGGGGTATGCGGCCAGGGGCCCCGCATCCATGTTGATGTCCCAGAGCTTGAGGGTCATGTAGTCGCGGGACAGGATGTAGCGGCCGCAGGGCGAGAACTTGATGTCGTTGATGGAGCTGATGATCTCCGAGAAGAAGGAGCGGGGGCCCGGCTGCGGCGGAGCAAGGGAGGGGAGGGAGGAGAGGAGGCACGGGGCGGCGGCCGGAGCGTCAGCGCCAGCCAGAGCGTCAGCGCCGCGCCGTGCCGCGCCGGCCAGGCGCTGCCGTGCTCGCTGGGTGGCGGCGCAGCGCGCGGATGCAGGGGGGTAACCCAGCCCGCAGCCCCGGTGCCCGCAGCGCCGGCCTCAACAGGCACCTCGCTCCAGCCTGGCAGGCAGGCAGCCCAGGCACCCGGGCCGCCCGTCACAGGCGGAGCCCAGCAGGCAGGCAGGCAGGCCAGGGGCCAGCCCAGGCGCTGGCCAGCCTGGCCTGGTAACCCACCGAGGGCTCCGAGTCCTCAAACAGCTTGGCGTGCTGGTCGCACAGCGCCGCCTGGCGCATGTCGGCCAGCCGTATGAGGCCCTTGCTGCTGCTGTAGGCAAACAGGTTGCACTGCTGCGGGTGGAAGTCGGCGCAGGTGATGACCTGCAGGGTGGGGTGGGGGCGGCGGCGGGGCCAGCAGGGGCGTCACAGCAGGGCATAGGAGCAGGGGCACCAGGGCAGGGCCACAGGCGCGGCAGGGCCAGCGCGGCAGCAGCGCGCCGCTCCTCTTAGCCACCGCCAAGGCCGCAGCGGGCAAGGCGCTCCTTGCTCCGCTGCCCCCCACAGCCGTCCTTCCTCCCGCCAGCCCTCCCTCCCACCCAGCTGCTCTCACAGCCAACCATCTCCCCAACCCAGCTACCCTCCCTCCCACCCACCCACCCTCCCTCCTGCCTCCCTCCCCGCCCACCTCTGTCAGGTCCTCCATGTTCTGCGGCTTGATGTCCACAATGTTGAACGCCTGGTCCTGCCTGCAACCCGCAGTACCAGCAGTACCAGCACCACGCGCCCATCAGCCAGGGCAGCCGGAAGCATCAGGTGCCTGCCAGCACACACGCATACAGCGCACGTGCACCGCTGCGCTGCCACGGGGCTCCCACGCTGCGCTGCCACTCTGCGCTGCCATGGTGTGGTGCCCCTGCCGCCACCCCGCCACAGCGCCAGGCCGCAGCAGCAGACGGGCAGCCGGCGTATGCTGCCGCCCCGGCGCCGCCCCCGGCCGCTACCCCGCCCCAGCCCCCAGGCGCAGCCGCCGCGCCTGTCCAGGTGCCACAGGTTGACCCGCAGGTCGTCTGCTGAGATGAAGGTCTCGCAGTCTGAGGAGAGGGCCACCGAGTTGATGTGGTAGGTGTGTGCGTTGGCGTACGACCGCTTGCACCGCGTGCTGAGCAGCGTCTCGGTGCCCACCACGCGCGGCACGCGCAGGGCCAGCGGGTTGGCGGCCGCCGCGCTGCAGGCGGCGTGCAGCTTGTCGGGGGAGTAGAGGCCGGAGGCGCCGGCGGAGCCGGGGCGCGGCAGGCCCGCGTTCAGCGTGCTGCTGCCGTTTTGCAGGTTGAATTCCGCCAGCGAAGCCACCTTCTTCTCATACACCTGCCGCAGGGTGAGGGGCGGGGGTTGGGCAGGTCACCTGGTGGGAGGTCTGCCGGCGAGTGCCAGGCACGGAAAACAGCGCCAGCCCCCCCGCCTGTCGGCTGCTGGCAGGCTGCTGGCGAGAGGCCGAGCCAGGGCTGCCCAGCACGGGGGCAGCAGAGCCCAGCAGCCGCAGCTCTCGCAGCGGCAGCACATCCCGCATGCATCCCGCATGCCCGTCCCCCCCCCACACACACTCTGCCGCCTGCCTCCCGCTCCTGCCCCCTTCCACACACACACCCCGCGCACCTTCCACAGCTTGATGGTCTTGTCGTTGGTGGTGAGCAGCATGTGGGTGCGCCCCGTGCATCGCCCGCGCACCCACCGCACTTTGTTGATCTTCTCCTCAATCTCCAGAGACTTCAAGTAGTCAAACTCCGGCTCGTGCGACTGGAACTCAGTCAGGTATCGAAACTCAAAAGGGCTGGTGTGCAGCGGCGACTCGGGGCGCACGTCGGGGTGGCCCGCTCGCTGCAACACGGCGGCGGCGGGCGGCGGCGGCACGGGGCAGGCATGAGAAGTGAGAAGCAGGTGGGAGGAAAGGGAGGGAGAAGGTGCCCGTCAGGCCGCCGCGCCGGCTGCTTGGGGCGATGCAACGCGGCCAGGCAGCGCGCGGGAGACTGGCGAATGCCGCGCTGGCACACCCACCCCGCGTGCCGACGCTATGCGCTCGAACAGCACCACCCGTCCGCCCTGGTCGCCGGTCGCTAGGTAGTCACCCGAGTGATCAAACTCCACGGCTGAGATGATGTCGGCTGTGGGGCAAGCAGGGCATGGCAGGTGTGCACCGGTGGGCATGGGTGTGCATGGGCAGGGCACGTGCGGCGCCATGCCAGCAGCGCGGCATGCGTGCCACATGCATGCGGGGACCTAGCCCTGCCAGCCCAGTTGCCAATCTCGCTCCCCGCTGGCAGCGTTTTGCATGCTGGAGGAGCGCGCAGGCTGCTGACGGCAGCGCTGGCAGTGGAAGCCTCGGCTGGGCTGGGCCAGGGCAGGCTGCGGCGGCTGTAGGCTGCCGATGCTATTTCCACCTAGGTGGGCAGCGTCGCACCTTCCTGCACCTCCTCCCCGGGGCTCCGCTCGCCAAACACTTGGCTGAAGTGCCACTCAAGCGGCTCGGCACCGGCAGAGGCCCCCGAGGGGCCCGCCAGCGCCATCCCTGCTGCCCGCCTGTGTCAGGTGAGCAGCGGCCTGGGTGGCCCGCGCCCCGCGCCGCTAGTGCTCGCCAGAGGGCGCCGCCGCCCGCGCCGCCCGACTCCTCACCCTGCTGGCAGGAGACTGATCGGCCGACCTGCGACAGTGTACAGGGGTGCGTTTCAGTGGCAAATAGTAGGCGCCAGGCCCGCCTGGGCCATCACCGCGCCTAACTGCTTCGTTTCAAAGTCCAGGCCTGCGGGCGCGGCCGCCGCAGCACCTGTGCCGTGTCCACGAGGCTGTACCGAGCTCCAGGAGGGGCTGCCGCTCGCCAGCCAACCGCCAGAGGCTGTGACACAACGCCGAAGAGTCGGCCCGCGTCCAGGTGAAAGCGATCGGCGGGGCGCTGACCCAGCTAGAGAGAGCAGAAGCGATGACCTTATAAATGGAGATGCGAAGGAATAGCAGGGAGGGGTCCACGAGGGACAGGTGGCGCCCGGCTTCGTCGGCCACTGTGCAGGCTGCCGGAAGGCAGGCCTGCACCGGTGGGCTGCTGCCTGTCTCTGAGGTTTCGGCAGGCATGTCACAGGATCTGTACACATCCCATGCGCACATGCATGAACGCACTCAACGCTTGCGCTTTGCCCCCTTTGCGCCCGCCGCGCTCGCCGCCGCGTTGCCGCCACCGACGCTCGCCGCCTTGCCGCCGCCGCCGCCGCCGCCGCTCGCCGCCTTGCCGCCGCCTCCGCTCGCCGCCGACGACACCGTCGCCGCGTACAGCGCCATTTCCAGCTCTCTGCTCGTCCACTGCCGGCCGCCGCCCTCGCTGAGCTGTTTAGCCTTGGCCCGCAACGCCGCCATCAGCTCCAACACCTTGGCCACTGAAGCAGCAGAGCAGGGTGGGCAGCGATGCCAGAAGCAGGGTGGGAAGCTACGCCAGAAGCAGGCCGAGACCAGCCTGCCGCATTCCTGGCAATGTGCACAGCCCGGAAAGCACAGGTTGGAAGAGCGCATCAGGCTGCCCCCAAAGGGACCGCACCCGTGTAGTCCTTGCTGTCCAGCGCAGCCAGCATGGCCTGGTCGCTTGAGAAAGGGATGGAGGGTTCATACGCCTCCAGGACGGCAGACGCCGTGGCCGGCCCCACCCCCTGCAGGGCGCAGAGGAGGCGGAGGCGCGGTGCTAGTGGCGAGGGCCAGGCGCTACGCCTGCCCGGCCTGCGGCGCTGGGAATGTGAGGAGGGGCGCTGGCACTGGCTGGGTTGGCCGTACCGCCAGCCGCGCAGCCCCCAGCCACCTTGAGGACGGTCAGCGCTGCCAGCGCCTCCTTGACCGCTGCCGGGGGCGCCTCCCTGCCGCGGTGCGGCGCCAGCAGGTCGAATGCTGCGGTGCTGGCAGCCTGCACGGCCGCCGGGGCGGCCTCCTTGGCAAAAGCCAGCAGGCGAGGCCGTGACTTGCCGCGAGTCAGCTTCCAGTCGACCTGCCACCAACAGACGGGCAGCCGAGCCGGCGCGGGTGATAGCAGGCTGCCCGTGCATGATGTCCTGGTCAGCTGTTGACGTGGCAGCAGCGGCAGTGGTGGGGAAGGCGGCGGGCGGAGGCGGCACGAGCGGGCGACACCCACCAGCTTGACCAGCTCTGGCTGCGTGAGGTGGGGGGGCTGCCGACCTTGCAAGTCGCCTGGCAGCTGCTCGTGGAACCACCTGAAGAAGATGTCGGCATGTGATCGGGGTGTCAACAACTAAACGGGAGCAGTCCCGCGCATCGTTGGCCATACCTGTCTAGCTCCGATAGCCTGGGCTTGCCCAGCCCCTCCACCGCCTGCCAGTACCCATCTAGCGCCTCCTGCCACTGTGCGGCATCGGAGCTGGCCCAGAGCGAAGACATATCAGCAAGGAGTGGAGTAATGCAGCGATGCTGAGCACGGCGACCTGGCGGCGCTGCGCTGGCGCAGTGCTGGCGGCGCCCGCTGGCGGGCCGATTTGATGCTTCTAGGGCTCCCAGACAGCCATTACAACTTCTTGCACCCAAAAATACATTTAAAATTGGAGAGCTCCAACGTTCAGAAATGAATGCGTTTCTCAGAGAGATTGGCCAGGTTATGCATTTGCCTGCCGCAAGCGAGGTATGGGGCCAGGGTAGGTGTGGGAATCAGCGAACAAGCCGAAAAGAAATGGAATCAAGGACTGAAAGATAATTGATCATGAGCGAAAATGCTGGTCAAGTGAGGGTCGATAGCCCAGCGCGTCACGCACTCGGCAAGCGCCACGGTAACATACAATAAAATCAACAGCTTTCTGGGCAAGCAGGCCCAGAGCTCTCGAAGTGTGCTGAGCGGCCCTGGCTGGGGAGGCGCCGTCTCGTCATCGGAAGACAGAGCATAAGTTGTGGAAGAGGAAGAAGAAATAACCGTGCGGGGCGCATGACTTGTGCCCCGGCAGTCCTGGGAGGAGACCCCCCCTGGCTCCCGTGCATGAACCGCGTGGGGGGGCCACCTCAGGGGTGCCAGCCGGCCTGCGCCAATCAGCTGTCGGATGCGGCCACGTGCCATTGCTTCACCGCGTCCTCCCACCGCATGAAGTACGGGTTCTGGTACTTCTCCACGTCGGGCGCGCCCGCCTGGTGGATCCACGGGTGCCCGCCCCGCGTGGTCGCCACGTGCTCCGAGGCCACGTTGTGCGCCCACCACCACCACTTGGCGTGCGCCTCCGGGTCGGGCTTGTCGGGCGGCATGCCGTACACCGACACGATGCCGCCGTAGAAGAAGCCGCGGCAGTCGTCGCACCAGAAGTAGTCGAGCAGGAAGTTGGCCATGGCGGCGCTGGCCTGCACCCGCTCTGCTGACATCGGGCTGGGCTGGTTGTGCATCAGGAAGTGCACCTGCGGTCGGGGCGGCAGGCGGGCAGAGGCAAGGGTGGGAAGGCAGGCAGGCAGGGCGCCATGGTGTGCCATGCTTGCTGTGGCAGGGCGTTGAAGGAGGCAACATGCGTGCGGAGGTACGGGCCCCGGGCGCAGTGGCCCAGGTGACGCGCGGGGCAGCCCGCTCCGCCGCCGCCTGGCGCCACCCACCATCGACCAGATCTTGTTGGGCTGCATGGCCATGGCGCCCAGCGCCCCGAGCAGGCCGGCCTGCGGGCTGCCCGCCACCGACTCGTTTTCGTAGCAAGCGTCCATGTCGTCGGTCAGGGTGGACACGTTGAGCGGCGCCATGAGCGTGTCGTAGGAGGGCGGCTTGCCGATCACGTCCTCGGGCCACAGCGTGCCGACGATGGCGTACAGCCGGCGGCGGGCCGCCTCGGTCGCCCTGCAGGTGCAGAGGAGGGGGTGGGGGTGGGGGCTGGTTGGCAGGCAGGCAGGCAGGCAGGCAGGCAGGCAGGGTGGCTGGCTGGCAGGCAGGCAGGCTGGCAGGCAGGCAGGCAGGCAGGCAGGCGCGCTGGCAGGCTGGCAGGCAGGCACGCTGGCAAGCCAGCAGGGATGCGCCGCAGCTGCAAGCCCGGGTCGGCGGCCGCCCCCGGCGCCCCGCCGGCCGCCCCCCGGCCCCTGGGCAGCGTGCCACCCACCTGCCGATCGGCTGGCTCTTGTCCCAGAACACGCAGGTGGCAGGCCAGCCCACCTCCCCCGCAAACAGCAGCATGGCTGTGGTGCCGGCACCCAGGGCCAGCTCCCGGCTCAGGCCCGCCTTGGGCGCCCCGGGGGAGGTGCGGGGGCAGTCCTTGGAGTCCCACCAGGGCCCCGAGAAGCATTGGTTGGGGGGCCGGGCCTGGACGCAGGTGCTGGGCAGAACCTCAAAGTCGGGGCCGGTGCAGGTGAGGGGCGTGCCGCCGGGGCCGCCCTTGGGGTCGCACACCAGCGGGCGCACAAAGGCCTGCGGCGCGGGGCGGGGGTGTGTGGTTGTGGGCAGGGGCATGTTGTTGTGGGTGGGTGGGTGTGGCTGTGTGTGTGTGTGTGGGGGGTGGGGGGGGGGGGGGGGGCATGTGGCTGCGGCTGCGGCTGTGGCACGTGTGCGGGAGTGGGTGAGAGAGAGGAAGGGAAGGGAGGCGCTGCCAGCTCAGTCAGTAGGCAAGGGTGCAGCTCCAAGGCGATGGGCTGGATGTGGGCACCCCGCCGAGCCCCGCGTCGCCGCGCGGCGCGGCTCCCCTCCGCAGGGCCCCGAAGGGCCCGCCAGCCGGGCCCAGCCCCAGGCCTGCGCCTGCCAAGCCACGGCCACGCTCCTCACGCACCTTGCCGTCGGGGGCGCGGAAGAAGGGGGAGTCAAAGGCCGGGTTGGTGTAGGTGAGCGGGTCCTCGATGCACGACTGCTGGAGCTGGCGGTACCGCACGCAGGTACCGTGGATGGGCTTCCACACCTCCAGGTCACCCGGGTAAGAAATGTCCGAGGTACACTGGGCGTTACGGGAGGCGTTCAGCGCGGCACGCTGCGCGTCCGTCACGTCGGCATCCGCGATGGTCTAGCAGGCGCGGGCGGAGGGCGCGGGCAGGAATCCAGGTGTTACAGTCACCCCGCTATGATAGGCCGCGTGAGCAGACCTTGGGCAGGGGGCACACGTGATCAAGGGGCATCAAGAGAGGGGGTGGACCATGGAGCACCCTCTCCATGGCTCCGACCACCCTCCCCCCAGCTGAGCGTCCCAGGGTCACCCCACCCTGGCCCCGCTCCCCGTCCTGCCGGACACGCAACCCCCACAACGTGGGGAGGGCAGGGCAGGCGGGTGAACGGGGGCGCATCGGTGAGTGCGGAACGCGCGGCAGCGGGCGGCACGCCAGTACTTACCCAGGCCTGGCCCAAGCACCAGGCCAGGGTGAGCCAGGAGCCCCCAGCCCTCCCCGCCAGGGGCCCACCTGCAGGTATGCGTCGCCGCACATGGAGGGGGAGGGCGTGGCGCCGCCGCGGCCCATGGCCCACGGCCCCCACTTCTCGTGCTGGTCGATGAAGCAAAACTCGTCCTTGGCACAGATTCCCGGCAGGGTGTAGCAGTCGGGCACCACGGGGATGGGGCAGAACACGTCGTCGCACTCGGCCTGCACGCGGCACGTGGGTGTGTATGGGGGGGGGGGGGGGGGGCCCGGGGGGGGGGGTT